TTGTTCTTATAATATATTACATTCTTTGCATTCAAAATACAGACATGGTGTTCATAGTGTAGAATCCGTATTGCGAAAACAAAAGTAAATGGCATCAGCAAGGGAAGATAATATAATTGCATTGCTCTTCTGTGCAACTTAATCAAGACCTAACTTAACAGAACACTGACAAAAGCTGTTGCGTGGGTCTAGTACTAGATTCTAGTAGTGTGAGGCAGCACTCGTGGCCTAGCGTGTAGGTGTTCGCCTCTCATTCAAAGATCCGGGGTTCGAATCCGTGTAGCGACAGAATTATTTTCTTTTCTAAAATTGTCTCCTTTCACCTCCTTTCCTGCTCTCAAGTAATGTTCTGTCGTCTGCTTCAGTCTCCACTTCCTGTCCCCTACCTCCTCACCTCCTTTGTCCCCTCCTCTGGGCTCCTGACTCTTTCAGCAACCTTTCTACTGCTACTCCATGACTCCTTCTTACTGCTGTCTTTCAGCCACACCCCTGATCTTTTGGAGGGAAAGATCTACACCTAGCCTTCTCGGACAAGAGCGAAAAATCTCGGAGGTCCCGTGTGCAAGTCGCGCACGTTAAAGATCCCTTTATGGTCTAAAATCGGTAAGAGCAGGCTTCGGCCGCCACCCGGGAAAAAATTCAAAATTTCCAACAAACTGAAAAATGTTTAATGTGTCCCGGGCGCTCATATATCCTTGTGCAGTTGCGAGCGCCGTAAAACAGTTACCTACCTAGTAGTGTGTAATCTCAGACGAAGAGGAAGTGCGCTGACACCATAGATGTATACTACATGTACTAGCTTAAAAAGGAGATAACTCTAGAGTCTACGGCTGACACGCGTGCTGACGTGCCTTCACGCGACCGCAGATTTTAGACACGCAAATAAGTTGGATAACTATTTCAATTTTCAGCAATAGTTTAATTTTAAGTTCTTCGTTTTTCTGACTAACCCTTCTGGGCTCTTGAAATTCATTCAAAAGCGAATTTTATCTTTTTTTCTTTCTTATATATATACATACATATATATTTTGATAGATAGATAGATAGATAGATAGATAGATAGATAGATAGATAGATAGATAGATGGGGTGTTGGGCCAAAAAAGAAATAAAAACAGAAAAATCATAAATTTGATAATAATTTCCCATTGAGCAGAACTATCTCGAAATCTTTAACTAGCGCTTGATTTCGCCCCGATGGCAAACATTTTGGCTTTTACGAACTGCGTATATTACGCATGCTGCCACCAGTGCTGCAAAACTTTCCTTGGCAAAAGACGAAAGAAATGTCAAAGGATACCTAGACATGAAAAGTTTTTACTGAGATGAAGAAACGAGAATGGATCTGTAGAGTGCTCAGAGCTTTAAGGCCTAGTCTTATGGGATAAAGCCCTGTATAGGCTTAAATACACTCTAATAATTAATTATCACAGTAAGATTTAGTCTCACTAAACTCACAAAAGGGACAAAAGCAGGAGTAGCTCTAGAGCGGGCAGGTGTACATCCGTTTTGCCAGTTACGCCTCTTGACTCTTTGGCAGGTAGATCCAGAGAGGGTTTACATTACAGCACAGAATTCTACAAGTGTAGAATTCTGTGCATTACAGTAATAAAGAGGTGACACTCGTGGCGGCGCTCCATAACAACAGTGCATTGTTTCCAAGGAGGTTACTTGATTGTTTCGCGTATCGCCCGGCGCGGGGGGTGAAAACACTTACGCGCGGTAATCACTGCCACGGCGATGCTAAGAGATGCTGTCATGTCATGAGAAAATGTAGTGTCGTCTGGAGTTAGTTCACTAGGGTACTAGCACTAGGCACTATGCCTTTAACAAAGAAGGAGGCCTGTGAATTCTATCGCATACTTTAGGCAACTCCCTGCCTCCCTCGGCCAGAAACTGTAAGACGTATGGCTTAAGTTGACATAGGCGCCTACATTCTAATAAAAAGAATAGATGCAGAAACATTACTTCGTCTTTATAGATCTGAAAAAAATGATATCACCGTAATTAAAGGAATAATCGTTTTAATTTTCAGCAAATCTACTCGTTCTCCTCTGTCCCTCTGTCATCTCTCTCTCCCTCTCTGTCCGTCTGTCTGTCTTTTTTTTCTCTCCCTATTTCTTTTTCTCTATCCCTGTCTCTCTTTCTCCACCCTCTCTCCCTCTGTCTACCTGTCTGTCTGTCTGTCTGTCTGTCTGTCTGTCTGTCTGTCTGTCTGTCTGTCTCTCTCTCTCTCTCTCTCTCTCTCTCTCTCTCTCTCTCTCTTTCTTTCTCTTTCTCTTTCTTTCTTTCTTTCTCTCTTTCTCTTTTTCAGCCCGTCTCGCTCTATCTGTGTGTCTGTCTGTCTGT